CTGGAGGAACAATACCTCATTTTCCGCTTGGAGACCCTACAGTCCTCCGGACTCAATATTGAGTTCAATAATTTTAGGGCCTAAACTCTCCTATGTCCCAGCCCCCTACCCCACACACCAGGCCTTTTTACCACAAAGCCTGCCATTACACACTCCCTGTTGTTAGTCACTAACGGTCCCCATAAACAACTGTTCACCCTCCCAACCTGATTGTTAGCAACTCCATTGTCTGTCCAACTGTCTTTCTCTCTCTTTGGGCTCTATCTTCTCGTTTACTCCCTACCCCAGCCACCTCCCTATTTTCTGCATATAAACTGACATTTTCCCAGCCACTATCAGTTCTGAGGAAGGTCACCGGACCAGAAACGTTAACTCTGTTTTTCCCTTCACAAATGTTGCCAGACCTGCTGAGCTTTTCCAGCAACTTTGTTTTTGTTCCTGGAATATTGTGTGCAGTTTTGGTCTCCCTTTCTGAGGAAGGATGCTCTTGCTTTCAAGGGAATGCAACGAAGGTTCACCAGGCTGATTCCTGGGATGGCAGGTCTGACGTATGAGGAGAGATTGTTTCGGTTAGGATTGTTTTCGCTGGAGTTCAGATGAATGAAGGGGGATCTTTTGGAGACTTATGAATTTCTAGCATGACCAGACAGAGTAGATGCAGGGAAGATGTTCCCAATGGTGTGTGTGTCCAGACCAGGGGTCACAGTCTGAGGATTCAGGATAGACCATTTAGAACTGAGATGGGGAGAAATTTCTTTACCCAAAGAGCCTGTGGAATTCAATACCACGGGCAGTAGTTGATGCCAAAACGTTGAATATATTCAAGAGGCAGCTGGATATAGCACCTGTGACGAATGGGATCAAAGGTTATGGAGAGAAAGCAGGATTAGGCTATTGAGTTGGACGATCAGCCATAATCATGATGAATGGCAGAGCGGGCTCGAAGAGCCGAATGGCCTCCTCCTGCTCCTATCTTCTATGTTTCTATGTTCTGCTTAAAACCTAGTAGTTCGAATTCCATCTGGGACGAAACGCCTTACACTTGCCTTTAAATAAGAAAATTTAATGTCTACGCTATCTCCTTGCTATAATTTGAGTGGGTTTGGTTTGGTCCATTACACCCAATGAGGTCACAAATCCTGCTCTGGGACTTGTCCTGGACGAATGAGCTGCCACATGAAGCAGTGGAAGCTGGTTAAATTACAACATTTAAAAGGCATCTGGATGGATATATGAAAAGGAAGGGTTTAGAGGGATACGAGCCAAATGCTAACAAATGGGCCTCAATTTATATAGGATATATGGTCGGCATGGACATATTGGACTGAAGGGTCTGTTTCTGTGCTGTACATCTCTATGGCTCTATGACACTATACGGTGTGCTGCTACTTCCCTGGACAGTTTTTACCCTCCTCCTCCTGATATATGAAGGATTCCTTAGTTCCTATAGCTGGACACACATTACTGGGACATGTCTGAGGCACCAGACAAGATCTTGAGAGATTGCCCTGGAGACTTTCAGAGTACCCCAATGAATCATTGATCTTGCGTCATTAGTTTGATGTCCTTACATGGTAGAGAGAGGGTAGTAAGTTATAGCCTAGTTACAAGTGTTCACTACTTCCAGGTCTGGTGGCTTCAGCATAGCTAAACCCATGTAATGTGGCATGTTTGAATATTGTATCTTAATGTTCTAGGGGGCTAGAGCTCCTTGAGGGGACTTACATATCTTGGGATGAAGTGATGCTGGTCATAGAAGTGCAGAGTAATTTGCCCCCCCTGTAGAGGCTGTAGGGATAGGGGCGGTGAGAAAGTCAGTTCACTTGAAGGCAGAAAACGGGCAGCGGCCTCTGAGCTGAATTATTGTGCACATTTGTAGTACTGTGAACTGCTACAAGTTCAGATGGGAGTGTGCAAGCGCTTGGAAGGGAGTGCAGAAGCAGTTCCGTCACTCAGAATTGTGCTTTCCCAGGCATTAGAGCAAATAGTCAAGTGACATGCAATGGTTTGTGAAATTACTCGAGGATCATTCACACTGGGCCGACAGACACAGGAACATCAAGCTGCTTATAAAAATGATACACTAACTGTCGTGATCTGAACGAGATCAGCCAGGTGGACATCACAGAATATGAGTTCCCTACCTGTGGCTGTAAAACTGGTCCAATCAGGGAGCCCTGGCTGACAAGTGTCAAGCATCCTGGTCACTCTGAGAGCAGGCTCTGAAGAAGCTGGGCGGCATGGTGACTCTGTGGTTAGCAATGCTGCCTCACAGCACTAGGGACCCAGGTTCGATTCCACCCTCAGGCAACTGTCTGTGTGGAGTTTGCACATTCTCCCTGTGTTTGCTCCAGTTTCCTTCCACAGTCCAAACATGTGCAGGTTGGGTGGATTGGCCATGCTAAATTACCCGTAGTGTTCAGGGCTGTGTAGATTAGGGAGATAGGTCTGGGTGGGATGCTTTTTGTGTCAGTATGGACTTGTGGGCCAAAGGGCCTGTTTCCACACTGTAGGGATTCTATGAAGCTGGATGAGTATCAGGTGCTATGCACATGTGAATAAAGGGTGACTTGGGGGATGGAATATTGGGCTTTTTGGAGTTATTTCACTCACCATTTCAGGTTTGATGCTCAGCCAGCACTTTCAACAATCACTGCGCGGTGGCTTAATGGTTAGCACTGCTGCCTTACAGCGCCAGAGGTCTGAGTTCAATCCCACCCTCGGGCGACTGTCTGTGTGGAGTTTGTATGTTCTCCCTGTGTCTGCATGGGTTTCCTTCGGCTACTCCGGTTTCCTCCCACAGTCTAAAGATGTGCAGGTTAGAGTGGATTGGCCATGCTAAATTGCCGATAGTGTCCAGGGATATGCAGTCCAAGTGGATTGGCCATGGTAACCCAGGGTTATACGAGTCTGGGTTGTATGCTTTTCCGAGGGGCAGTATGGACCAAATGGCCTTCTCCCACGCTGTAAGAATCCTATGTTTCTATGAATCACTCTTCCTTCACTGGGAACTTTGCATTTCTTGTGACACAAAGATGAAACAGAATTGACCGTTTTATCTATCATATCTCCCAAAGATGATTTGATTCATGTTTGTTTATGCCATTGTTTTTACCACTGTGTTGTTGCAGGAGGCACCAATTCCATTGCCACCCATTGTAACGATGCTGTCACTTTAAGAGGTTATTTTGTCCTGGTTTTGTTTTTTGAAGAGAAGTTGTAAGACAAAGGTACAGAGCTGGCCAGTTGAGACCACTTGAGTAAACAGCTTGGGAGGCCTTTTTTTTTAACAGCCTGAACAGGCCTGGCCAGCTCTCACTGACCCAGTTTTCTTGGTTTTGGGTGTTTTTTTCAGTAGCATCAGAAGCTATTGGTGTTTCAACAGAGTTGGAAGCTTCAGTGAATGTGTCCTGGCTACTATTCTGTCTGAATTTTCTCTTGATTTTTTTTTTTCCTCCTTGATTAGAGAACGGCATGAGGAAATCTATGTCTGAAGTTTTCCTTTATTTGCCAAGAAGTGTGTTTGTGGGATATTACTACTTTAGGACAGTTATCTTGTTATAGTCACTGCATCTATTATTCTGTTGTTATTCTAAATTCCTCTTTCTTTGATTGTATTTTAATTGTGTTTTGCTTAACATTGAGTAGTTTAACCAGTTGCATTGCATTGGGACCAGATACTTTACATTTGCCTTTAAAATAAGAATAAGTTAGGGTCTAGGGTGCTTTCTTAGAGTATTTTGAGGGGATCTGGTCTGGTCCATAGCACCATCCTTGCCCAGCACTGCCAGGATGGAGCGGTGGAGATTTCCCAACTCTGGATTCCCACCACTCAGATGAAAATTCCTCCTCAATTCTGTTTCTCTCTCTGCTATCAGGACTGTGATTATTTTTCCCACAAGTTTCTGCTGTTACTGCATCTGCGCTTCAGGCCTCTGTCCTCAGTAAGACACTGAAGGTGGTCATGGAGTTATTGAATACTCCATGATGGAATACACTTTTCTCAAATATTACAGCCGAGAGCACAAATAAATTATTCTAATCCAGTGAGTTGAGGTTTCTGCTCCACTGACCCTGATCTAGTCACATGGCAATGATCCAAGGACCGGGTCTCTGCAGACCACAGAGGCCTGTCCTTATACAACATTGCGATGACTGTCACTGAGCTAAGTTAATTATAAATGTCAATTCTAAAATAACATTTTCCAACTATTTACCTATAAACCAACATCAACAGTGGCTCAAAGCAACACTTTCACCTTTAAGTCAATTGGATTTAAGGATCAAGATGCACCTAGACACTGAGCAAAATAATGCTAGGACATTATCCTGTTGGCATTTGTGGGATCTTATGGTGTGGAATGCTTCTGAAATTGCAAAATGAAATGCTTCATAAGTTATTTATCAGCTGTGAAGCATGTTGGGTTGTTCTGAAATGATAAAAGATACAAATTAAATGAAAGTTTTTTCTTTTAATAACGCTTCGGAGGAAACCATGTCTTTTTTCTAATTTTTGATTTACTACCTTCACTTAAAAAAAGGCAGGGCTTCACATAGCAGTTATTATGATCAAAGGAAACTGAGAGTGAAAAATGTTTTGGATCACTTATTATTTCATAACACAAGAAGGCGGCGAGACCTCAAAGTCCAATCTGTTTTATGCTCCTTTGCTTTTTGAAACAGTGTTGAAAAGTGTCCTGATCATGCAGCTTTCAGACCTTCTGCATGTCCAGACATGAACATCCGCAGCAGCAGGCAGTGACTAGAATTGTCTCACTTGCTGCAGCATTTTACTCTCTCTTTTGTGGATATGCTTTCTGCTGTTCTCTCACCCGTTTAAAGTTTCATGAAACCAATTGCTCACCTACAAAATCTGCATGTGTGCAACTGGGCGCAATCATTGGCCTGCAGCAACATGGGTGTGGCACTCCCAGAAACACTTTGGTCCAGATTATGACTCAGAATCAGTACTTCCCTAATCTTCAGAAGCCATATTTTACAGCAAGAAAGTTCATGTCTTCGTTTGGATTTTTACATGTTGATATATGTACAGGATAAAGTAAGTAACATTGCCTTAAATGATCTGATTCAGAGGTGGAACATTGAGGGGGCTATACCCATGACCTATAGGTGAAAATGGCAACCTGAACTTGGTTGTTTTAACACACCTTGATCTGTAATGCTATGTTAGTCTGTGATTATCGGTTGTCAGAGAAAAGTATACAGTATCAAATTTCAGATTTGTTGTTACTTATCAAAATTATATACAGTTCTGAGAGGTAGTACAAAGTGAAGAGAAATGACAGTAAAACATAACAAGAGGAAATAGCCTCTCAGGGAACTGACACCATTGGGCATTCATTTAAAATATCCACTTGACTACGCAACCCGTGAACCTATTTGGGAATTAATTATTATTGCATGAATCAAAGTTTTCAGTACTGTGTGCTGTTGGCTGGTGGTTATGTGTGAAAACATTGGCAGCGAATCTTTGTATTTCAAATAATTGTGGGATAGTTTGGACTTGAAGATAAAGGGTGTGGCAGTAAAACATTGCCTGAATAATTTAATGTTTGCTTTAATTGCTGACTGAGACCAAAAGTTAACCTTGGCAACTCAAATCAGCGTTGCATGTTTCTGACTTGGGAATGATTTCTCCCGCAGAATTTTATTTTTGTTTTGTTGCAACTTGGATTTTTGGGTTTTTTTACTTGAAGTATCTCTAGATGGTGAATCTAACCCCGTGGCGTTGTCAAGTAGATGTGATTGTTCTGATGTTTCACCAACACGACATTCCATGTTGTTATCGTTCTAGAATCCTATTGTCTATGAAACAACACACTACACAGAATGGCAGCTGTTTGTATCCATGCCCACCATTTGTGAATAGATTTCATCTTGTTCGATAACACCACACGCAAGGAGCCACCAGGTTACCTATGTTTTAAATTTGGAGAGTCTCTGTCCCTAGTGGGCAAATGCTTGATCCACACCTTTGTTTGCTGCCACAGCAGATGGTAAAATTTGTATCCAATTAAAAATCTGGAATTAAGGGTCTAATGATGACCATGAAATCATTGCTGATTGTCGGGAAAAACAGATCTGGTTCGTTAATGTCCTTCAGGGTAGAAAACCTGCCATTCTTACCTGGCCTGCCCCCATGTGACTCCAGACTCACAGCAACGTGGCTGGCATATTTGCTCGCCGAGCTGGCTTGTTTTCATTCAGACATTTTGTCACCATGCTAGGGAACATCATCAGTGTGGCCTCCGATGAAGCGATGTTGTTCCACTCCACTTGGACGGGAATTCCTAGAGGCATGGTTTTCAACCCGTAATGCAATCAGCAAACATATAGAATTGGACCCCATATACAAACCCATACAGATCAAAAGCGGAAATGAGAGTACACACCATAACGGACTGGACAGTATAAATTCTAAGCGGAGTAGAATAACATCGCTTCATCGGAGGCTCCACTGTTGATGTCACCTAGCACGGTGATGAAACGTCTGAACGAGAACAAGCCGGCTCGGTGAGCAAGTCAACAACCTCATCCACAACCTGAGCTACAGATTTTTGCTAAAACTTCAAATTTGAGAGATCTGTTCAAAAGTCTGATAACTGGAGGGAAGAAGCTGTTTGTGAATCTGCTTGTACGTGTATTCAAACTTTTATATCTTCTGCCAGACGGAAGAGGTTGGAAGAGAGTATAACCGGGTGGGAGGGGTCTTTGATTATGCCGTTTGCTTTCCTGATACAGCAGGAAGTATAGATGGAGTCAATGGATGGAAGGCTAGTTTGCGTGATGGACTGGGCTGTGTTCATGGCTGTCGAGGATATAGGCATCAGGGCAGGTTCCAGGGTACCTGTTGCAGACGTATGACATGTGGTAGTGATGTACATTGATAGACTGAAACTCTTTTTAGCCATGTTATGAAATGGTGTTTTCAAAGCTCTGTACTGGGAGAAACCAGCTATGTCGGCAAAGCACCTACTGCATGTGCTGCAGCACTCTCCTTGTCATGGGGAAGTGAGATGCGGCAATGTGAACTGATAAGTTTGAGAGAGCTGACACAGGTGCCCAGTGGAACATTGGAAGCAGCCAGCTACCTAAAAGTTTAGCACAGTTATCTGCTTTAACAGCAATTGGACAGTGTGGTAATCCACCCCTTCAGAACGTGGGTCTACTCCAGCAGATGACAGCTGTGTGATAATGTCCCAGGATGTCTTCAGGCTGTGGCAGCAATGCACCTTGCTTATCTCGACTCTGAACCTCCTGTACCACTAGCTCATTGTGAAGGGATATTCAGCTGTGATTTCTTCATATGGAGGCCATTCAGTAGCTTCTTGTCCTGGGGTCGCTGATTGTTTTTCTTCAATTTCTCTGTGCCTTCCTTGCAACCTGGCCACAATGACAATAAACTCTGCTGTGGGTTGATGCATTGGTTATGGTTTTCAACGAACCTGTGTGGGAAATATCAGAATACAAATGATTCCTTTAGTAATGCAACCTTTCAGAATCCACATCGCACGTCACTAAGAGTTTAGTGATAGTAAGAACTGCCGATGCTGGAGTCAGCGATAACAGTGTGGAGATGGAGGAACACAGCAGGCCAGGCAGCATCGGGACCCTTCCTGACCCGAAACGTCAACTTTCCTGCTCCTCTGATGCTGCCTGGCCTGCTGTGTTCCTCCAGCTCCACGCTGTGTTATCACTAAGAGTTTAGTGTAGGCTTTGATATGGTGGAACATGGTGTCTGAGCAGGAGGGACTTGGAATGTCTTTTACCTGGGCCTTTGACATGGTGTTGGTTGTTCTGATGCATTTTCATCAAATATGCCGTTCAAATACAGTAGGAGGTTGTAAGTGATGCAGGATTACTATAAACAGAATAGAATTCTTACAGTGTGGAAGCAGGCCATTCGGCCCATTGCGTCCACACCGACCCTCCAAAGAGGATCCCACCCATACCCAAACCAACCCCCTACTCTATCCTTGTAACTCTGCATTTCCTATGGCTAATCCACTTAGCCTGCATAACCCTACACATAACAGGCAATTTAGCATGACAATCCACCTAACCTTCACATCTTTGGACTGTGGGAGGAAACCAGAGCAAACGCGCACAGACATGGGGAGAACGTGTGAAACTTCAGTCGCCTGAGTGCGGAATTAAACCCAAGTCCCTGGCACTGTGAGGCAGCAGTGCTAAGTACTGAGCCACCATGCCACACTCCCTTTCCCCGTCTATGTCATCCGGGAAAAGTAGCATTGCTCAGAAGAGTGTGTTCACAAATATTTACAGTTCAAGGTGATCGGAAATCGGATCCACCCCTTATACATCCTCTGAGACTTGGACTGTTTTCGGGAATTGTTGCCCACAGATGACAATTATTAAGATTGTCTGCCTGTGATTACTCCAGGTTCACTGCGATAACAATGACTGACTTGGAGTTCATTTGGAAGAATTTCTGCTGGGGTTGAATAGCTAAGGGTTGCAACTACTAGACAGGCAGTGGTAGTGGCTGAAGATTATGAACTGGTTCAGAAAATCGAAACTTTCTTCTCTCACCGTGATAAATTTGAAAGGAAGCGAAAGTGAAAGTAAGTCAGTCAGTTGTGTAGGGTAAAGAGCTGAGGATGCCCCAGAACTGCCCCTCTGATCAGAACAGAAAGTACTGAAGGCGGAAGTGAGAATGAAAGACCTAAATATTTTCGGAGAAACAAAGTGAAACACATGCTGGAAGCTGCGAGCTAAGCCCATGGAATTTGTTGGGATTGTAAGAATGAATCTGAAAAGGGAACATGAAAGAGAAATACCATGGATTAAATTGTATCTTTCACTGCAACAGAGAATCTGGAGGTAAATGCCATTGTAAGTGCAAGAGCAGTTGGTTAGAAGAGAGATATTAAAGGTTTTGTCTAATGTAACAGTAGCCTTTTTTGTTTCCATTGATGCAGCCAAACCCTTACGTATACTAAGGAATACAGAGGCTGCTCAGACTCTTCTTTACTGAAGAAGGATTTAATTTTCCCTCCACGCTGAAAGCCAAAGTTTTGATAAATGAGATAAATAGAGAGTATATCACAGTTCCATTGAAGTAAAGTCAAACTGAAGAGTGATGTCTTGTCCGGACTAGTGGTAGTTGGAGTCATTGAGAACTTACCCATGGACAGAGTTGATTTATTCCTGGGGAATGATCTATAATTGCAAAGTCCTCGTCCTGTCCAACAGACCTATCCAGTACCACCCCCACCAATACCCTTCTCCACCTTGCCAAATTAGCCCTCACCCTCAATAACTTTTCCTTCAATTCTTGCCACTCTCTCCACATCCAGGGGTTGCCATGGGCACTCACATGGGCCCCAGCTACGTCTGCCTGTTTGTCGGTTATGTTGAACAGTCCCTCTTCAGGATGTACACCGGTATTGTTCCCCAGCACTTCCTCCATTACATCGATGACTACATTGGTGCTGCATCCTGCACCCAGACTGCACTGGAGCAGTTCATCAACTTCACTAACAGCTTCCAACCCGCCCTCAAATTCACTTGGTCAATCTCAGACACCTCCCTCCCCTTTCTTGACCTCTCCGTTTCCATTTCTTGCAACAGCTTGCAGACCAACACTTGCTATAAATCCACAGACTCCCAGAGCTACTCAGACTGCACCTCCTCCCAACCTGTATCCTGGAAAAACTCCACCCCATTTTCCAAATTCCTCCATCTTCGTCGCATTTGCCCTGACGAGGAAATGTTCCACTCCCAAGCATCCCAGATGTCTGCCTTTTTCAAACAATGTTCTTTTCGCCCCTCTGTCATCCAGACAGCCCTCCACCATGCCTCCTCCATTCCCCGCTCCAAAGCTCTAAACCTTTGCCCCCGATATAATAAAAAATAGGGTTCACTTGCCCTCACTTTCCACCCCACCAGCCTCTGCATCATGTATCATCCTCAAACACTTCCGCCTACTCCACTTAGGCCCCATCACCTGGAACATCTTCCACTCCCCACCCCTCTCTGCCTTCCGCGAGGACCATTCCCTTTGTCACTCCTTCG